TGCTTTAAAACCGTGATGGCGGTCAACCCTTTTTTCATAAAAATAGTGCATTTGTGGCGGACTGTAAAAACAGGAGTGGTGTCATAAGCATTATAAGCTTACAACAGCTCTTTTTCTACTGCCGCTATTTCGAAAAACATATCCAGGAAAAGTTAAATGAAAAAAGGTTGAATGGAAATTATTCTAGCTGAAATAAGAGACGCCTTTTAGGAAGTACCTCGACTACCTGCTAATTCTCGTGCATACTAAAATTTTCACTGTATTTTTGGAAGTTTGTACTGAATCGCTTCAGACATGTTGTCGATGAACCTCTTCATGCCGGGTGAAGGCCTTTTTGGCACCCATGTTACATGGGAGGACATCGAGAAGGACATGCAACATGAACTGGGTACGTCGTCTTCATTCGTTCGTCTCATTCGGATCGAACAATTCTGTCAAAGGCACACCTTGGAGAAGCAAGTTGTACGTACAGCCGCTTATTGATTCCCCAATGAACGCTTTCTGATTACTGAATCTTTAGATTAGGACCTGAACATGTTTTGGTGGTACTCACTGTGATCTCCTATATGAATCACAAAATATACTAAAATGCGTTAAGAGTATCCTAGCTCTTTTCCAACATCCAACCAGTTCTTTTATTGGGGCAAAGCACTGTGGTGTGAACCGTGAATTGCGTCTAAAATCAGGTTGTTACATTGAGGGAATTCAACTGAATCAGAAAGAATCTCGCGGTCAAAAACGCTTCAGTATCTGAAACGATATGTGTCCACTCGCCTGAGCCTCTTAATGAGTTTCTCCATTGCACTAATTACTTTCAAGGATCACAGTACAACCACAACAGGGCTGCACAGGAGCCAAATGTGGTTACGATCGACGCTGGACACCCAACGATGAATTCATCCAGATTTATCCCTCAAATGAGTGGGAAAGGAAGGTCCACGAAGCTAGCAGATCTGCCATTCTAGTAGCTTACAAGTGCTTGAGGTGGTCACTACCTGCCACATCAGGCCGACCACGAAAGACTTGTTAATTCCGAGCCCCGTACATCATCACGTGTGTTTATCTCGCCACGCTTTTCCCCGGCTCTCCGCAGTACAGATATAGATCTACATTTTCGGAGTTTTGACATTTCTTCCTTTTTTACTTATTGTCGGTCCACCTCACGTCTTCACGTTCTGTGCGCAGAAACCGTACTCAAATACTTGTGGGGTGTGCCTTTAAGGCCGCAAGCCTTATATAAAGTGCACCAGAGCTCATTCGTCTAATAAAACTTGTAGACTTCACCGCATCGAAAGGTTCCAGTTGGACATATATAAACTTGATTTTACTAACTTAACTAAGGCCAATACTGTAAAAAGTAACCCAGGTTGGATGGAATTGAATAGAATATTAGACGAACCTAGAAATGAGTAGCCCTAATAATTCAGGGTTTCATGTATATAGTTCTCTTGCTCACCTCGCGACTGGCCAACCAATACAGAGAAGAAACTTGCCGGCGAATTTCGTGCTACAGTGTTCCCAATTCTTTATAACCGACTTTTTTTCACGACTAAATTGTAAACTGTTGCTTGCTAAGCAATACCCATCACTAGCGCATTTCACACTAATGCTGATCATAGCCAGTATTCGGGGCAGCTCATACGGCTCCAAAGTCATGTTTCACAGGCTTAAGGTGCCAAATAGCTTGGTGAAGACGAGCCAGTGGAACGCGCTTATTTGTTAGCAGGGTACGGGATTATGGATGAACTCCTTTTCTACCCCCTTCCGTTCAAGTACAAGGTAACCTGAAAGGCAACAGTACACTAAGACTGTCTCAAAATCTAACTCCACCCCTCACCGTGTTCACTCAATTACCCAGGTAAAAATCACGATTGAAAAGGTAAGCGGTTACGATAAATTCAAGAAGGGTTTAGTGTGACGTGGTGGTGTTCAATGGTACCCCAGCAGCGAAAAAAAGCAGAAAAATCCGTCAAGAAAACACAAAACGGGACCCTCTTTTTTGGCCATTGGTTTCAACTCGTGAACAGGTAACAGCTAAGAAAGAGGACGTATGAACGAGCAACGAATTTGATGGAATCATGCCAAAGTACGCTTTAATCGAGATACTCCATTTGCGCCGCTGCTGGTCACGCAGCTCGTCCAAATCAACAAGTCAACTTGTGGGCGTAACGCTGCTGGGGGCGGAGTGCTGCGGAGGTCCTGCTCAGCAACCACAGCACCTTTCGCCGTGGAAGCGCCACACATTGCTTCCTTGGCAGCCAAGTAATTGCTCCGTGTGACGCAGGTTCTCCCCGATGCAAAAATTCCTTATCGTAATCGCTTCCTTTTAAGTATTGTTCGGATTTCATAGTTGGTGGAATTCTTTTTTACTTTTCAAAGTCTATATGACTTTAGTTGTTTTGAAATCTTTTCAGGTGCTACATCCCCTTGTTGATGCATTACACAGCAAACCTTCAATCCAAGGGACAAAATTATGAACAACGATTTTTGCAACCATCCAGCTATGCGAAATTAATTTCGAAGCCCTTCCTAAGCGTTAAGATTCCAGCACTTTATCATCTTATTCATTTGACATCGTCCAAATACTGTTGTTTCCTCATGATCTCCTAAGGTCTAGGCCTTGTCTACTCTCTTCCTTATCCCTACTGCCAATCTACCTTATCCTAATGGCGGTGTTAATGACATCTCGCCTTGTCCCCAATTTAACAGTCTTCTTAAATATCTTCGATATCATATAATTGCCATTGCCCTGGAGCTAGTTAGCCCTTGAGATCTCCTACGGTGACGCAGTATCGGAGCCCGGTATTGCTCAAAACTGAATCCCGATGTCTGAAACTGTTCTCTTCTCCGGCGATGGGAAGATTTGTTTTTTCTTGCAGGACCCACGCTTAGCGTGGAACGGGCGCGTTAAAAAACCTCCGCTCATCTTTATATTGAATCCATTTCTGCGACACATCCAACCCTTTAATTGTTCATCCATTAAGTTCTGCCAAACAACCAGCATTGCTCTGGACTGTTGGCCCATTGAGCTAATTTGAATCCTCCTTTGCACATCCATTTAGTTTTTTTCACGATACATCCATATGTTGATACCTGATTCTTGATCATGTCACTGATTATCAGCCATGCGGCCAGCTCAGGGTGCGATGTTGCGTGGTAGTCCTCACTGTCTTGCCTTTGTCCTCATAAAACTTTTCTGTCTTGTGATTCCACCTACGGCAGTTCAAGCTTGACCCATTACGGTGCATTAGCATTGCTCAGGACGCTTTTAAAACCCAACATTTATATACTTGTACAGGGTTTCAAACTTAGCCACGCTATGGTCCTCATTGTCATAAACACTTGCTTCTGGTGCCTAACCAGGTGATATTGACTTGAGGATTCCTCAACGGTACGCCGAGGATTTTTGCCTGATCCTTTACGTTTTCGCGCGCGGATATTCACTCTCGCCACCCGCGAGCCGTCTGTGCTCTCCACGCGTACATTCACTATCGGCTCCACTCTCGCACAGCAGAGAGCGATGGTCGAAGAATCCCTCGACCGTTATTCACCCTTGTGCCTACCCTTTCAGAAGGCAATCGCGCTCCATCGAACTGATGGCTGTCGCCTTGAAATCAAGCCCAAATCGGCCCTAAATTTGGAAGTTTAATAACAGTGTTATCCCAGTTTGGTACTAAAGGGAGAGTTGTGCGTGGACCATTCTTTTACATGGTGCTACAAAGCTCATACCAGCTGCAGGTCACTCCAGAAATAACACTGTATCGTACTGATGAGCGCACACGACCTATTAACTTTCAGCTCACAACGCGAAGTATTCTCTTACATCCCCTGCTAAGCTTCCTGAAAGGAAGATCAACATCCGAGACGTAATCGCTTCACATCATTCACCACAGTTTTTCTATGTAATTCATTTCCAAAGCCAGTGTGGTCGTGTGCAACCACACCCCAAATGACCGACTGCCTCCACAAAATATTATCGTTTTTTGCCAATGAGATGATTAAAAAATTGCAGTTGTACTTTATCAGTTGTCACTAATACAACTATCATTTACCAGCTAATCAGTCGTCGCTATGAACACTAGTTATCAGATTTGCGAGGGCTGTCGTCACTTGTATTGTGTGGTCTGCAATTGGCGCGCATCTAAACCTCGGAAACAGAGTGAATATACTCTCCATGCTCGCTTCGAGAGAGAGAGGCTACTCTTTCCTCATGCTTTTCCATACTGTGGCTAACTAGTGTCGCCAAGGGCACTGTGAAAAGGCCAGCGAAATAGGTAAATGTCTTGTCAGGGTTTCAGCAGCTCCCCCATGACTCAAGCATTCTCTTGAATCGAAACTGAACTGCTCATGGCTGTTGATTTTTCAGATCTACTGTACGCGAAAATTCTCGGAAACTAATCTATTGAAAGGGTATATAGCTATGGAATACCTTGAAAATGCCAATCAGCGGGAGATTTGAAACTTCACGCTAGTAAGTGAGACGTGGTACATTCATTTCCTGGGACTTCACCTCTAGACCGAAAAATGGCAGAATACCTCAATACTGCGCAGTAGCTCGTCAATTCGTATGCGCCTAATTCGGAACGGCATGAAAAATCACCTTTTCATTATACCCCACCTTTCATATACCCGCAAAAAATTCGGGGGGGGGGGGGGGGAGGGGGGAGAAGAACTCATCGACAGGGCGGACGCGCGCGCATGCGAGTGTTATCACAGTGACGTCACCAGCACGCGAACGCGTCGCGCTGCAGGTGAGTTTTACCGTGGAGCCAGAAATCATTCTCATTTCGAAAGTGCAGCTGCAGCATCCACATCCACCGAGATGGATCCGATACAGAACTAGAGCCTCCAATTCACTAAATGTACCAAACGAATGAGCAAAAATTTCTGGAAAGAATTTTTCCCTTTTTTTCTAGTAGATAATTCAGGACCTTCTTCAGATTCTACACTACGTGGCCGTCCTTGAAGCTGCTTCCTTAGATGTCTCACTGAAAGAGAGGATGGATTTCTTCGAAGCGCCATTCCAAACCATGTGCACGGGTTTGCTACAGAAAACGGTACGAAATGATCTCATTATCCGGAATATTTTGGAGTGATTCAGACTGCAAATCGTTCCACTGTTAAACTTCATTTGCACAGTGCATTTCTATCGATGCTAGCAAGCTAATGCCTTCCTCAAGCGCGTCAATGGGCAGATTAATCTCACGATGAGGTGAAAGGTCGAGGAAAGGGAAATATGCTTAGTCGAAAGCCCCACCCCCGGGTGCGGGACGGGCAGTTCGCTGCGAAGGGTATGCCCCGGCGACCTAAAATGGTCACCCCCGCGGCGCATTCGGTTTGACACGCCCACTCTCTAGCCGTCTAAGCCTCTAGCAGTTGAGCATAGAGAAAGAGAGAGCGTTAGCGTTGAAGAGGGTAGCACCGATGCGGGTCGCATCAATGCGGAAATCGAAGGGTCTATGGCCGTTTCCATGGCTTTTTCTTCATCTCGGCACCACTGACCACCTCTACCCTGATTTCAATGAGCTCCAGTCTACACATTTGGGCGTTACTTTTTGAAGAATCAGTCCATCATTGCATTCTCCGAGGACATAAGTGATAGCTAGACTAGTCGCGCGCGATGTATGGCGTATTGCGTAGCTAAACAGAGACCTCATGGCCGTGCCCCTAGATTCAAGAATAGACGTAATTGCTTCAGGTATGAAAAGGTTTTTAACCCTCTCCTGGGTAAGTTTCGATGTTGTATAAAATACTTAAAAGGTAAAAGTTGTTTAGTATTAGAATTCATTTCAAATGATTCGCCTCAGGAAATGGAGGAAATAATCTCTACGCTGCGGTCACATGATGCCGGCAAATTTGCACGAAATGCTGATCAGTTGAAGGCAATTGTTCCGGATATGATCAATTTCAAATGGGCAGATAACTTAGGCTACAAGTTTGGTAAGGGATCGAAATTTTTGAAGATTCATCTGCTTCCTGGAGGAAACGGTAGAAGTCAACAAGACCCACCCTACGTTACTGAAAAAACCAAAGTAATAGCCTGCAAAGGAGGCTTCTTCTTTGCATTCTTACAACTAATATCTGGTCCCACATTTATTCTAACCAAAACAAATTCGTAGCATACCATTAGAAAAGACACTTGGAGCAAGGGGTTCAGTTGCTGATAAATGTTCCCGGAGGCAGCTACCTCACCTCAGATTCCAGCCATTTTCCAGTGGTTCTCACTCACAGAAACAAAGCGAATCTGCGAAAACAGAACAAGAGTGAGAAAAAGAAAGAGAAGAGAGAACGAAAGAAGAAGAGAAGAAAAATCCAGAGAGCTTTCCCGACACGCCCACAATTTCGTTAAGTTTACGAGTTTCGGTTTCGAGCGTGGTGAGGGCAAAAGTGTTCAAAGGCAACATTTCGGTTGAATAGCACAGCTCCATCGCCGCAGGTTCAATCCAGACCGACGTTTAACTTATGCGAAGTGCAGAAGTTCAACTTGTGTCCGCGGTCGCGTTGCGGCAAACGATCCGCCAACGAATCGCTTTTTTTGAATTGCAAAGGGTGTCCCCCAAGAGGCCCGTCGCGCGGCGAAGGAAGAGACGCAGACGCGGCAAAGGACGAGTCGCAGCGCATACTGTAGCGGTTAGGCGTCAGCGTGAATAGAGTGTACCATAGTACATTCTCATCAGGGTGAATATCGCTTGAGGATTCCTCAACGGCACGTCGAGGATTCTCTGCCCGATCAGACACGATCTCTCGCGCGGACATTCACACTCGCCATGCGCGTGCCGTCTGTGCTCTCCGCGCGGATGTTCACTCTCGGCACTACTCTCGCATGGTAGAGAGCTATGGTCGAGGAAATCCTCGACCGTTATTCACCCTGCTCTTCATATCGCACAGCACGCGCTGCAACTCGTCCTTTTTACTGCATCTGCGTCTCTTCCTTCGGCCGGCGCGCGTCGGGCCGTCTTGGAGGAACATCCCAAAGTCTGACAATCAGTCCCGTTAGTCTCTCACAAACCTCCTACGATCGGTGTTGTAATAACTCGGTAACCCGATACGTCAACAAATTCGCCCACAAAACCAAGGGATCCCTCCTCTTCCCATGTTTTCCTTTCAAAAATGTAGAATATGCCATATTCCTTCGATAAACCCCCTCTTTTGCACGCATCACATTTTCACGGATGTATCTAGAAATGGTATGGCAAGTTTTTGGATGGTCTTACCCCTGATTGTTTTTCTCGAAGAACATTTCCAAACAGTTTCATCGGTATTTGACAGTGAGCCAAACGCTGTTGCTATGGCATGAGGGACCTCTGCCTCCAACGAACAACCAGGGGGGTGGGGGGGTTGCGAAAGCAATCTGGCGGAGATACACGGCTGGTCGCTGTCATAGATTATCAGGTAACTATGAAGGCGCAGGTTCAACCAGCGCTCAATTGTTTAGCTCTATCAGTTCATTACTTTTTCCAATCAGATCCAGGAATGCTACTAATACTAATAGCACTGCTCAGAGTTAAACCTGCCTCAGTGTTTGAACTGGCAGAACCTATGGGAATGTGCTTTAGTATAGCACGAATACTGTAAAAGGTTCGGGGGAGTGTCAAGGTGATCGCCTTGCCAGCGTGCTCACTTGGTGGGTTCGGCGACAGATCTCGTTCAAATTCTCATCACATTTCTAAGTGGCAAAGATCGTCGAGCACATTGGGAGAAACTTATTGAAGATTTCTACGGATATCTCAAGCAAGAAGTGGGCAATAGAAGGGTACCATATAGTCTCGAACGAGGAGTGGCGATGTGTGTAGCGCCGACAGTCGCGTGGAAGAGTTGCAGCAGGGATTCTAGCAGGTGTGGCGGGGGGCAAGAAAAAAAAGAGGTCACTTCGCCCATGGCGCGAGTGGTCAGCAAGCTTCTACTCGCACACGTTGCCGTGGTTGTAGGAACTCTATTGGGGAAACATTCTTGAAGGTCCCTCCACGCGCAGATGCAAGCCCGTGTTCGCTGCCCTCATGGTCTTCAAAATATGACCCCATCTGCAATCGCCATCGAGCCTCAGGGAGTTACTCTTATTTGCTTCCATCCTGGAGTGACTTAACAAGTTTCTTCCAATCGCGTTACATTTGATGAATATCTTCCACGTACGACTCTCTATTAATCTCGGCATGATTGTATGTACAGTTGTAATTGCTTCTGTTCAAGCTTCCGAGATTGATATACGATTTATCCGGCTAACGTTTCGGCGCACTCGCCTTCTTCGGAGCCTGCAAATCGAAGCATCTTTTTGAAACAATTCGTCCAAGCAACATTTCAGATTACAAGAAAGAAAAACTAAGGGAGAATAAGCCATGAACGATGTCGTAACCCGCTTATCGGAGGTTTTCTTCTTGTAATCTGAAATGTTGCTTGGACGAATTGTTTCAAAAGATGCTTCGATTTGCAGGCTCCGAAGAAGGCGAGTGCGCCGAAACGTTAAGCCGGTATAAATCGTATATCAATCTCGGAAGCTTGAACAGAAGCAATTAAAATGTACATTATGGGTTAATAGCATATCTCGAAGGTAGCCACTGACTGTGCATCCCGTTCACCCAGCTTTCAGATAGAGCGCCTCATTGATCACAGCTCCGACGAGGACCACGTTGAGCTCGAACCGTGGGCAATGTTTCCATGGCAAATTTTTCTCTGACAGCGTCGGTGCAGAAGGCTATTATGATGTTTACTCTGATAGATGGAACATTTCTTTCCTTTCCTGTTAGGAGCATTCAGTTTGAGCTTAGGGAAGTGTGACTAATACCGTTTTGAACGTGGTGTAAAGTGTCTTTTTTTGGCACCTGTGTGGCACGCTAAATGGCGACCCATATCAGGCACGCGGAACCGAATTCATAAATGTGGTTGCTGCAACGGTGTGTGAAGATCATTCCAATCGCGCAACAATTTCGGGCTACGTTGAATCGAAGTGCTAGCCTCCAAGGTTGCGGTCCGCTACCAGCCAACAGCGCGGATCGTTGGCCGCACCGCGACCGCGGGCGCTAGCAAATCGCTTTATTCGCAGAGTCTGATACTGGTCCCAGCAGTGTGTGGTAACAACTTCCCTTACCACGAGGTGAAATTAAAAGTTGTTGCGAAGAACCCATGGGCATAAATAATATGAATGTCGCCCTGTGGACTGGATAGGAAACCTTCCCATGAGCGCATAGTTGACATTCAGGGACAGGGGTATTGGTTGACGGCGTGGAAGCCTTAGGCCGATGTCAGACTTTGCGAATCGCGCGATTCGCTAGCGTCCGCGGTCGCGTTGCGGTACCAGCCAATTGAGTGATTCACTGGCCGCGACGCGACCGCAGACGCTAGCGAATCGCGCGATTCGCAAAGTCTGACATCGGCCTTACATAGATGGCAAGCAACTCCACCTGCTTCCGTTCGTGGAAAGTATGGCAACGGCAGGGTACTTCATCGGTATCGTATTACTCTCATTCTGGATTGCATCTCAATCCAAGCAGCCTTATCTTCTCAGGTATCGTATCTTCCAATGGGATTACGCTCGTCAACCATTACCCATTTCAGTCTTACCGGTTGATGGCACGTAGCAAGCAGCTCTACCTGTGAGCCAGCGCAACCGCTTCCTTTAGATTGAATTCTAAAATGCATCCCTGCTACATTTTCTACAACCCTTCGAGCCTCACTGGACCAAATCATAAATTCTCCATATGGAGTGGACCAATAAGGTGGCTAATGTCAATCTAGCCCTTCACATCAGACCAGGGTTAGACTCTCATACATATAATACATGCTCATTGCATGAGTAAACAACAAACAAACAATAATATCACTAACCAAACAACGATTCAGTGCATAAGCAACTTTTCCTTGTGTCAAAAGGACGAATGACTAACCAAATGTACATGGTATTGGGAGAAAATTGGCCAGCCTCATCAGGATTGGGCTTTCGTGATATTCTATTTGTAATTATTTCAGCTGAAGGACGCATATCTACAGTTTTTCCCAACCGGAGCTTTTACACTGATTCCATATATTGTGCCGCTGTTTGAGATTATTCCGAAAAATGTGCATGAGGAGCAGAAAAGGAAAGAGGTACCGTGATTTTTTTCTTTTTCATCTCACACTTCTTGTGTTCCTACCGCTGTAGTATAAGCTAGATTCGACTTATTACAGTATCTGGAGATGGTAACCGAGAAAATGGAGTGCTTGCTGGAAGATCTTCTTCACTGTCATGATCGAAATGTGAAAAGTCGTGAAAAGAAATCAGCCGTTTAGGTTTCTAAAACCAAATTCGCTTATTCGCTTAGTAAGGTGATCTTTCCGAGTTAGTGGTGAAACCACGTGTTCGTGAATGGGCATTTTTCACTAGTCAGAGTTCCTTTGAAATTTCTGCAATAAAAAATTGGCCTTGGCAAGAATTCTTTCCCATTATGCAGACAAGCTGCTCAGCAGCAGCAACACGAGTGAATGATACTACCTGAAGATTTACCTCCAGAATTC